CGCGGCAGCGCCGGCCTCCCGGCGGCTCATCCCGGGGGATAAACCCGGTCGCGGTGCGGGACCGGGGTGCTCCTCCAGCTCTTGGCTGTTGCCAGACGCCTGGTGCGAGCGAGCGAGCTCCTCTCTGCGCCAGGCAAGCAGGATCGCTTGTCTCCCTTCCTCTCGGGGGAGGATGGAGAATAAAGGATGACTTGAAGTTATCTCCTGAGCTTTGTGGTGCCTGGTGTTGTTCCAGGTCCAGCCCGATCTCTGTGTCAGTTTGACTAAGCCTGTGCGGGTGTGAGCTCCTCTTCCCCTCAGCATTGGAGGCACGGAGGGGTGCTGGTACCCTGCACCCAGCTGTTGGTCTCCAGGATCTTAAAGGTGTTTTCCACCCTAAATGATTCTCTGAGTCCGTGCTCAGGTCTCCTCCCCATCCCCTGTGTGGCTGGGCCTGGAGGCAATGCCCTCCTTTACCTAATCCCTGTTTACCTCATGTGAGTCCTCTGTTACCCACAGAAACTTTGGGTAGAATGTTATTTTTTTACAACTTCTTCCTATTAACTAGAATTATAATCTAAACTATAAATTCCTGCAGCCAACATCCTCTGAAAGGACGTTGGTAAATCTGAAAACCAGTTCTGCTAAACCTAAGAACAGTTTTTACTTATTGGTATCTATTTTAAGTTAAATCTTTAATTCCTTCTTTTAATGCTAAGGTTACAGTACATGACTGTATGTAGTGGTTTTTTTTTCCCCTATTTTTAGTCTTTTTTTTAAATCTTTAGGAAGGATTTCTGCTAGGAGAGGTGAGACAGGAGGAGACCTTTAGCATCAGTGATTCACAGATCAGCAACACAGAATTTCTACAAGTGATTGGTAAGTAGCAGAACTTTGAGAAGTTCTTGAAGAAGCAACTTGAAGTGTTTCACTTCTCAGTACAGCAATTCAGTAAGAATTTATTGTGACATCAACATGAGACCTTCCAGTCTTTCAGGATCAGGTTTGCTGCCATGTTTGTGTGTTCCTGGTTGAGATGTGAGGAGAGGAAACGGTCCTTTGCTACTGATGGGGCTTTTATGCATCTCCTTTTGTGGAGAAAAGGTTATTCTTTGAAGGCATTTATCTGCATTTCATGATGGAGAAATTATTTGGCTTTTGGTCTTGCAGGGAGTTTCCTCCTTGATGATGTTGCCTAAATACAAACACGTGCTCACACTAAAATAATTGTTTGATTTACTGATACTGAAAGGGGGCAGATTTCCAGGAGAGAGTTTGGGTGTGTGGCTGGGAGCTGATGACATCCTAAACTGTCACAGCAAGATTGGACAAGGAATATTTGTCAATTTATTGATCAGCAGAGGGAGTGTACAGCTGATCTTGTTCTGGAGGGGGAAAGAAGATCTGAGATTTTGCTGTTGTGTTGGTTCTTGAAATAGACATTTTTCTACTTGAGCAAGAAGCTGTTGCATGGTTTTGGCTCTGGGGTTTATAGAAAATAAGAAACCTCTAGAAGAAAATGCCTTTTTGAATCCAGAAGGTGAAGTACTTTCCTCTTCTGGTCACTCCTAAGGAAACAAGGATGATAAATTGACTGTGTGAAGTATCAGTGACAGTTAAATAAGTGAGTTAAATTACAGAAACAAAGACTCAGGATTTTGTGTGTGTCCATAACCACTATCACAGTATTGCATGAGGAGAGGCAGCTGGCAGCAGTGTCTGTTCAGCCCAAACCAGACATTCCTGGTGGTGGCTGGTCTGGGGGGCTGCTGCTGCTGTCACACAGTGAAGCCACCACCTGCAGCCTCAGCATGGCTTCATAAACCAGGTGTTAAACATTTCACACAACCCCTTGGTCACCTTCTTTACTGTTATTTTCTGAAAAGAGAAATAACCCACCCCTGGAGGTCCTCTGGATTATTTTTTTTTTTCAATTAGCAAATTTTTTCCTTCATATTTATTCCTCAGTATGAGGTGCTGAGGTTCCAGCTCACCCCTTGAAGGGAGAGTGACAGTTTGGGGCACTGCTGTCACAGATGAGTTCTAACCTTCTGAGGTGGCTGCTGCCTCAAAGTTCAGTGCTGGTGTTTGAGCATGTGTGTATTTAGAGTATATATACCATATATTTATATAAAATAACTCAATGTGTGAAACCTAAATTGAGAATGATGAGAAATTTAGAATGAACTTCACTATAACAATGATAAATTTAGGATGAATGCTTCATGTGTTCTAAGCAACAGACTTATTGCTTCCTGTTTTTCAAAAGCAATATAAAATGTGAGAGTCTTGTATAGATTCTCAGCTGTTGTAGTCAATATATTTGCTGGAAGGAGCTGGTTTAAGCTGGAGTAGTTCCCCTCGTAGCTCTGTGTAGTGGATCATCACACATTCCTCTGTGCCAGCATGGAAATGTGGAACTGCTGCACCTGAAAACAACCCCAAACAGAGGGAGGCAGTAATTCCAACAGCAGCTCCACGAGGAGCTCCTGCTGCTGGCAACAGGGGTGCTGTGGGGGTCTGGGGCCTTGTTTTGCTCGTGCCCAAATGTGCTGAGGAGCTGAAGTGTGGAGTCTGTTGTTCTGGGAGCTGCAGCGTGGCTCTGACTCTGCTGAGGCTGCAGCCAGTGACACCCTGGGGGGGAGGAGTCTGGACAGAGTTGTTGCTACACACCCCAGCTGGGCTCTGGTACAGGAGCTTGACAGGTTCTGTGGCTACAGAAGTGCTGCTCAGGCTGAGTGAATAGTTTCAGACAGAAGTTATGTCATCAAGGTGTAATAATATGAATAAAAGATGAGCTGGGTTTGGTAGCATGTCAGAGGAGAGGAGAGAGCTTTGAAGAAGAACTAAACACCACAAAAAACTAAGTCATGCTTAGAGAGACAATGTGGGTTGGAATTTTGCTCTCTTCTTGCTCTTCTCTGAGATTACTGACATCTGACCCCCTTTACTGTTGAAATAAGCATCTTAGCATTTACTGAGACATCTTAAAGGGAAAAAAAAATTACTGCTGAGGCTGTTTAATAATTCATATAACATAATTATCAATTGCAGCTGCTTAAATTATGTTTAACCTCTCTTCTCCCCATAGATTCTGTTTGGCTTTCTTTTTGAAATACTCCAGTGTGTCACATTTCAGTGATTCCCCCACCCCATCCCTTTGTTTTTTCCTTCCTTATTGTTACAGTATTTTCCTCTGCAGAAGATGAGAAGGTAGTTTTCCAGCTATGGTGCTGTGTCATCAAGTGTTGTTGAGACATTAAGGGCAGCATGTGATCTGACAGGAATGTTTATTTGCTCAGCAGCTCTGATGTGGGAAGTCCTTTCTCTTTACCTTCAGCAGTTGGACATATCTCTCTTTTTTTGTTTGTTTGTTGTTGCAGAAATCCATAACCATGAGCCTTGTTCCAAACTCTTTAGGTAAGCATTTTCTGTTGTCTTCCTGGGTTGGCTGCAGAATATAAAGATGGGTAGCTCCTGAAATAAATTAGCATTTCAAATGTACTTCTCCTGGTTTGCATTGTTTGCTCATCTGATATTCCAGAAGTGACATGTAAATGGCACAGAAATGTGTGAGCTCACACTTTTAGTAGCACTTACCCTGGGTTAGAAAGGTGCCAGGGTGACTAGTACAGGCTCAGTTCTCTGTCTCTCTGAATTTCCACCTCACATAGCTCATGGAGGTAGGATAGCAAGCTGTCAGACCAAGTCCTATCACTCCCATAATTAGGATGAATGTCTAATTATGGTAGTCTTAGGTTAGCTCTGCTTGGGCCTGGTGGGTCCCAGGACACCTCCTGTGCTCTAACCTCAGTAACTTGCTGGGTGAACAAGTTGTTTGGTAGTTGGTTGTACTGACTTGCACCAACTAATTCTGAAACTTGCAGCTTGCTAGCTGTTTTTACCTTCTGATCTCCTGTGCTCCAGAACTTAAATTAAATATAGGTCTAATCAAGTCTATTTAGCAGCTTCCATTCATTCACAGGTAGCTTTTCTCTGCAGTCTTCACTCCTTGTACAGTGATGGCTCCTAAATTGCTGTCTAGAAATTCTTTTTAGAAAGAATTCCCAGTTAATCTGCTCTTGTCTTTATTTAGAGATTTCCAGCTAATTAAGAAGACAGTTCCTTAGATGTTATGACTGACATTGGTGACACTGGAGAGAAAAGCTGCAGCCTATCATTTGCTCTCTGATAATTACAGAGAGGATGCTCTTAACCCAGTGATTTCAATGCTGGAGACTCCACACACCCAGGTGGTATCTCAGTGTCTAGGAGGCTCCTTCTGGTTCCTGGTGGTGCTTTGTGCAGCACCTATCAAACCTTTGCTTTCCATTTGCTGCTTCTCCTAGTCAAGAAATGAGTTGTTGGTGAGGAGCTGATGGAGGAAAGGGCAGAAGTCTGTGTTCTGCTGCATGCTTTGAGAAAACTGAGGGATTTATTTGCTTGAGAGCACAGGGGGAGAACCCTTGACAGCAGCAGAAGAGCCTGCTGTTGGTTCCTCAGTTCCACTCGTTGTAGCAGATGCTGATTTTGGGGGGGTTCTACCTTGTTTTGAGGTAACTGTAGCCAGGCTGAGGCAGCTGCTTGCTCTGGAGAGCTGTGAGCTGGCACTGCTCCTGTTGAGTGTAGCAGGTTGGTTCCAGGGCTTTTACCAGCACGTGGTAGCTGAATAAGAAGCAAAGATTTTAAAAGGCCTGGTTTATCTCTGTGCAGTTTTCAAACTGAGGCATTTTGTCCCATCCTAGGTGCCCATTCCATAAAAAACCCTGATCTTATAAAGCACAGAAAGAACTGTGCTTTATGAGATCACTCCTTATATATCCACTCCTTATAAGAATGTATAAATATTGTGATCATGAGCTGAAAACATTAAATTGAGATACTACATAGTATTTGCATAGTAATTAGTTGTAGTCTTTATATTCACATCTTGAAACAAATTTTGTTTCCACCCTTATTATTATATTAAGTACTGAGCTCAGGATTTTCTGTTGGTTTTTTTTTTACTCCCCCCAACAAGAGTTGAGATCACAGACCTTTAAACCAGAGTGTTTTCCTGCACTGCTTTAGCTGTTAGTGATAGCAACTCTTCAAAGAAACTTAAGGGCTTGGCAGGTAAGTCCAGGAGGAATCTATTTTCAAATGTTTTTCCTTTTATCATAAAGTGTGATCTGCTTGAATTTACAAGCCTGTCTTTGTAGACAGACTCATAAATCTTCAATCTCAATCTGTCATGTCCTCAGAATCACACTGTGCCAGGGTTTGAGCCTCTGTTCAGAGCCATATGGAAGGACTGTGATACTTTGGATTCTTGTTGACCTCAATCTAACTGTTTTGGCTCTGAGGGTCCAGTCATGTGAGTCTCATTGCAGGGCTGGAGCTCAAGACATTGATTTGTAGCTGCATGTCAATGGCCCTGCTTTCCTTTCTTCTTTGGCAGGTAGGCCTCTTATTATCAGAGCAGGGTTTTACAGAACGCTGGTCAAAATAAAATCCCACAGTCCATTTATTTACATCCTGCCAGGGAAACACACTGGGTAAAACTACTGTGTGCAGGGAAACTATTTCACAAGGGCTAATTACAGGCATCTTGTATTTCATTACGAGGGGTTGAAAAGTGGTTTTGCACCAGTTAGTCTGAGACATCTAATTGAAATGCTCTGAACCTTCCCCCTGGGAGCCACTGCCTCTGTTAGCTGTGCAAACCTGGGCTCTCTGTGGCACCCAAGGTGGACACCCTCAGTAGGTGGTGGGAACACTGCTAAAGGTAAAACTCCAGAAGCTGCTTTGTAAGGTACTGAATGCCATCTGTTTGAAGAATGCTCAAAGTAGAAGTTATTTACTCCTCAAAGTAAAAGTTATTTACTCCAAGTATGAAGCATGTGTGTAAATTCTGTGCCTCCCTCTCTCTCTTCCTTTCTTCTTCAAGCTTTTATGACTATGCAGGCAAGGTTAACGAGGAGAGTTTGGACAGGATCCTTAAAGACCGAAGAAAAGTAAGTTTTCTGTGTTCTTCTCCTGTCCTAATCATTAAATAATTGGAAACAGCACTTTGGGGAAACAAACAAAGGAAGTTCACCAGAAGAAATATCTTCCTTCACAAATCTGCTGGTTTGTTTTGACTCAAAGCCTGTACTGTGCAGAAGTTGCTGGATTTGTGGTGCTTTGGGTAAACTGGGGGCAATGTCTAAATTCCCTGAGGAAAAGGATTTAAGGTTATGTTTCCAAAAAAAAATGTAGGGCTGGTATGAACCCACAGAAATTTGTGTAGCATAGTGATGGTGTGCTCTGGTGCTGGAGCTGACAGCAGTGTCACTGATCTGAAAATCTGTTTGAAGAATTTGGTTAAAGGAGTTGTAACAATCTGGCCTTGTCATTGCAATTTTTACACTGTCAGTTGTTAACTGGAACAAATTCTATCAGTCCTGGCAGATGTTGTCAAAGCTTCACATCACACGTGGTTAGTAGCACAACTGCTGGGAAGAAAATGAAATTTTGGTGGTTATTTGGAGAAGAGTCAAACCTTTTTTTCAATGTTTTATCTCACTCCATGCTTGCAGTGTGCTAATTCCCAGATCATGGGTTCAGAAGCTCTTGGGAGCTGGCACGTGGAAGAGCAGAGCTGAAGGGGTGGCTCCTTTGGTGGTGAGGTGACTCCACAGTCAGGCTGCTCTGGCAGGAGGAGGAGTGAGTGACCTGCATGGTCCAGGTCCTGCCAGTGCTGGGCCTTGTTAGACCTGGCAGGAATATCCCCAGTACCTGCCTTTGGCTCCTGAGATCTGGGTAGTGCCAGAGCTAGTGCAGAGGAGGGGTGGCTAAAAGTAGAACTTTTTTATTTATAGAACTTTATTTATTTGGCAAAGCAGCAGCAAACTGGGGTCACTGCAGCTGCTTGTAGAGCTGCCAGTGGTTTTTCCCTAGGAGCAGAGCTCACTGTCAAGGTGTGACCTGTTGGGTTTTGGGGACTTCTGTCCCCTACAGGTGACTCAAGTAGCTTTTGCTGCTCTGGGCTGAGTAAGGATGCCCACTTGATCATCATGACCTGAAATGTGTGATGACAGTTGCTCAGTTGCTGGTTGAATTTGGAGTCCTGACTTGTGGTTCTCTACAGGTGACTCAAGTAGCTTTTGCTACTCTGGGCTGAGTAAGGATGCCCACTGTGTGACTTGATCATCATGACATGAAGTGTGTGATGACAGTTGCTCAGTTGCTGATTGAATTTGGAGTCCTGACTTGTGGTTCACCTTACTTACCTCAACTGTGGACTTCTGCTTCCAGATGAGCCTGAAGTTGAGGAGGGATTGTTAGGGGAGCAAATCCTAAATGTTCAATTTCTGCCACACTGAGCATTATAATGGCTTTTTTAATAATTTTTTTTGCAGCAGATGCTCTCAGAATGACCTCCCCTGTCTATACTAACATGCTGATGCTTTCTGTCTGTATTTACACATACAGGATGTATAACTTTATGCTGATGATGAGTTTCCAGTCTCAGGTCCTGAATTCTGTAACCCCCTAACTCTACTCAAGAACACTACAGAGCACATTAAGTTTCCTTTCTGGAGACAGCAAAAAAAAACCAAAATTTAAAAATGCTTATCTCCCACTAGTTTTCAGCTGAATTTTATTTTGCTAGGGCCTGCCTTGCAGGGAGCCTCTGACAAGATGCATCCTCTGTGGTGAGGAAGCAGGAAAAAATGGAGAGATTAAAGCTTGCAAGTGTCATGTGGCTAAAGCACCACAGATTTAATGACATTAACTATCATAGTGCTAGGAAAGAAAGAGTCTGGGAACCATGACAGTCTTGTATTCTCTTTTGTTAGCAAATAACCACATTTTATTGCATTCAAAGTGTACAGATTTACTATAAAAAGTTAAGAACACTGCTTCTGTTTTTTGTTAGTTTGTTTTTTTTTTTTTAATTTAACACAAAAGTCATTTTTTAACATGTCAAATCTGCTTTACTCCACTGGATATATCCATGCAGTCTTCATGCATCAGTACATGATATTGCCTGTTCCTGGGACCCTTCCTGAATCACATTGTTCAGGATGGGCCCTTTCTCATTCATCTCTTAAATTAAATGTTTGTTTGTATGAAGTAAAAGAGTTCAATCCATGGTAATATTCAAAGTAATCATGGAATTAGAATGGGTGTTATCTGATGTCCATACAACTCCTTCACAATTCAATACCCAATGAGATAATTTTATCATGGCACACAGCAGATTAGTCTCATGTGTTTCACAAACAGACATGAATTTGGAAGATATTTTTGTGAAGCATCTTACAGATCAGTACAAGGGACTAGGCAATGGAAATATTTAGGCTACAGAAAACCCACATCTGCTGTGTTTGAAAACAGCTCCAGTCTGATAATTTGAAGATGCTCCAAGGTTTGTTGCTGAAATGAAGCAATTGGAGTGTACTGGGAGTGGAATCTTGGATGTCACTGAGGAGTTTGTAGCTTGATAAGGTTGATCAGTTGTGTTGGAACAGTATGTCACTTGTTCTGGTTATTTCAGAGGTGCAAGCCTCTAGTGATTCAGTCCAGCTTTGTTCTAATAAAGCTATTGGCTCATTCACACACTAGTTTCAGCAACTTTATTATCAGAAGATTAATCTGTATCTTTCAATTAATACTTCAGGTTTTTTTATCTGATGTGCTTTGATTGCAGAACGTTATTGGCTGGTACAGATTTAGGAGAAACACTCAGCAGCAAATGTCCTACAGAGAGCACATCATTCATAAACAGCTGACACACATCCTTGGAGTGCCTGATCTTGTCTTCCTTCTCTTCAGCTTCATTTCCACTGCAAATAACTCAACCCATGCTCTAGAATACGTCCTGTTTAGACCAAACCGAAGGTGAGCAGTCTCTGGGGTTGAACCACTCCTCATCTTTCATTCTGCTGCTTCTTGCTGTTCTTTAAACCAAGTCATTTCCAAATTTTAGTTTTGGGGTGAGCAAAAGTTCTTTTCAGTCTTTAAATCTTCAGAGAACAACAACAAAATATCTTAGGAGGAAGATGTCAGTACCATGTTTCTTGTAATAGACCTGAATGTGGCTTCACCCTTGCTGTATCTGTGGTAGTTTGAAGGCATAATTAAAAGGTACTAAGAGGTACAGAGGTAGGTCCACCTCAAGGGAGTTTTTGATCATGTGTTTAGTTTGAATGTAACTGCTAACATTTAGCAGCTTCTATAATAATCCTAACACAGAAGCTTTAAAATTAGATGAGTTGTGATCATCAGAGAGATGGGATAACATCAAGGCTGTTGTAATTAATCTTTTGAATATGAACTAAGAAGTCTTTCTAAACTTTCTCTACAGGTATAATCAAAGGGTGTCACTCACTATTCCTAATCTAGGCAACACTAGTCAACAGGAATACAAAGTGTCTTCAGTGCCAAATACTTCTCAGAATTATGCCAAAGTCATTAAGGAACATGGGTAAGGATTTTTCCTTTGCAAATGAAGTGCAGTCATCAAGCTCTGCATTCTGTGCTCTCCAAATACTGCAGCTATGCATTTCAAGCAGGAAGAAAACTCATTCTGGAGGAGAGTAGTCAGTTCCTAGAGTGGTTTTTTCCCTGCTTAGAATTGAATCTTTAGGTGCTTTGGGCCTTCTGCCTGTAAGTTCCTTACTTGATTTCCACCTCAAGGAGTTGTGTGTGCAGACTTTGACTCAGAGGTGTTGAAGTCTGGTTGTTTTTCTTAAGTAATTTCAATTAAATGCTGTTAAATACAAAGTAGCTCTTCTGACTGTTAACAGTGAAATTATACAGATTTAAAGATTCCAGCACACTTTTAATCTCATTCAAATGGGACTTTTTTGCACCAGAAGGAATTTCGGTATTGAACATGCTGCTGTCCAAATTTTGGTTCTTGAGAGTATTGTACATTATTATCAATATAAAATAAAATACATTTTTAGCAATGTAGTGACTAGTTAACAGAATTCACCAACAGCATGAGCTGGAAACTTGTGTGGTCTTTACTAACTAATGATTTCTGCTTTTCTTTGTTTGCTTTAGTACTGATTTTTTTGACAAAGACGGCGTGATGAAGGATATCAGGGCTATCTATCAGGTTTATAATGCACTTCAGGAAAAAGTACAGGTAATTTCCTTCACTTAATGTTGCTCAGCATCTTTTGTTTGTCCTTTGGTTAAAGCAGGAGGGGAGGAGATGGAGATTTTTCAAGCTCATAAACAATTTATCATGAACGATAAGAAAATAAGTCTGTCTTTAATAATTTAAAGTGTCTGTTTAATGTGTGCATTTGCAGTGGGGGCTGGAAAAGTGATTGATACAAATATCACCAATTCTTTCTCTTTTGCAAGTAAGAATGATTTAACACTGGAGTGATTTCTGGGAGACGTTAGCTATTTTTAAGGGGATGGGTTGAAGAAAAGCCTTGCTGAAGGCTGTGGGGATTTGCACAGGTTTAGAGGCTTGCCTGCCTGCATTTAAAAATGACTCCTGGCTCTTGATATGTAGCATGCAGCAAATTGCTCCATCTGTTAGTTAAAACTTGTGAATGTTTTGTGTAGAGCAGGAGTAGATCCTGCTCCAAATGTGCCAAAGCATCTAAAAGTGCCTTGAGTGTCAAATCTACTGAGTGTGAGCTTGTCAATTCACAGCTTCTCCTGGGTGAAGAGCAGCAGAGCTGTGCTGCCTCAGGAGCACATGCATCTGCTCATTGTGCTGGAGTCACAGCTTGTTTCCAGGCTTCCCCTTACATCTGCCCTGGGGGGATCTGTGTCTCTGCTCCAGCTTAGCTTTGCTGGCTGGCACCTGAAGCAGAAAACAAGGCAGGAATCTCCATCCATGCCCTGACCCTGCTTGTGCAGGAGAGCTGCTCTTTCTCAGTGGGAGCTGCTGCTTTCTAACCTGCTTTGGAAGGTGGATAACTCATATCAGAAAGCAGACAGCATTCATGCCAGCTGCAGGAGACATGAAAATTTATTTCAGAAGTCTATCCCATTAGCTAATGGTATTATTCTGCAATGCTGTTTTTGCCAAGAGCACGTGGATGCTTTCATGCTCTTGCTGTGGTTTGATTTAGTCTCTGGAAAAATGGAAAATGTAACATCATCAGGGAGTTGTCTTCCTACCTGGTAAAACTCTGTATTTTGCCCTGTAAATCACACTGCTGTACACTCCTTATGGAGCTTAAAGGTAACATAGGTGTTGGCTAACTTGAGGAACATTGATCTATAAAGTGACTGTTCCACAGAGAATGTTACAGGACTGGAAATAAGATTTTTGGTAAAGCAGCTGAGCCATGTGTTTGTGTTATTCATCAATTAGTTGGGAGGTGAAGGTTTAAATTGTATAAACTTCAAAAAAATAGATATAGAACTGAAAGCATGGTTAGTGTTTTTCACCTCTGGAGGTAAGATCACTAATAGGAGCCTTTTGGCAAAGAAACAGCTAACAGCCAGTGACTTACTGTGTAAGATTCATCAGTGCTTTTAGTGTACTTTTCAAAACTGATCATGTTTAATGATAATGACAAATGCTTAACCTCTGAAAAAATAAACAATACCCAGTATAACATGTTTAGATTCAAAAAGTAATCAATATTATCCAGAACTGGTTTTAAACTTAGATCCTCTATAAAAATTTCACATTCATTTCCTAAGCAGTATAGGGAAACCTTGTTGGGAAATCCATGAGAGTTGTTTATTTGCTAGAGATACCAGGTAGGAGATCAGCTTGGGACAGTTGGCTCAAGTTTTATACCCAGGTTTGAATCTGGTTTAGGACAAAAAGCAGGCACCTTTATGCTACATTTTTAGATCATGTTACTGTATTACCCTTACTGTGCTAACAACATTGTATTTAAAAAAAAAAAAGCCAAATCTCTTCCACCAAGTAGGAGGAACTAACTTAGGACTTGATTACAAATCTTCCTATTATTTGGAAATAACAATAAATTTTTCTGTCATGCAGCAGTTGGGAATTGGCAACAGTCAGTAAAGAAAACAATCTTCAGATGACTAGTTTGCTCTGATGTAGTTAACTGCTGCTCTTAGTTTTGTGCTTTTAATGGTTTCTTGTCTACTAGTAGCTCTATTAATGTTGTCATGAAAGTCTTTCATGTATTTTTGCAAAGCCTTTGCATATCCTCTGTTTTTCCCCTAGGCAGTGTGTCTAGATGTAGAAAAAAGTGAACGTGTTGTTGAATCTTTTCAAGCTGATGTGAACAAGTTAAAAAGGCAAATTGCACAAAAGAAGAGTGAAAAAGAACAAGAAATAAGTAAGTTGCCTCTTAATTATTTTTTGTTTCAGAAGCAGATGCTGGAAGGACAAAACATTTTGTGGGATTATATGTGGAGTTGTATTCCTGATGGCTCAGTAGGAAAAGAAAATCCCATTGGGAAGGGTGTATGATGGATTTGCATTGAATGATACCTGAACTGTGAAAGTTTACTGCAGATATTCCTGGAGGAGTCATCCAGTGTTAGCAAGCTTAAAACACAGGAGAGAGCCAAAGTGGAAGAGAAAGAAGAAAGTTCTGGAAGTGACACAGGAAAAGATTGGTTGCAGGAAAGGAAAAGTGGAGCAAAGCCAGGACTGGAAAGAGCAAATCTAAACACTGGAGAGGTCCCTTTTGAAAAATAACATAGGAACAGGGTACTGTGTTTACAGGCCAGGAGCTTTCAATGGTTTATTTGGGTTTTTTTTTAAATCTTGATTCTCTTTTCCACTTCCCTCTCCCTAAATACAAGGCCAACACCAATTAATTAAGAATTCAGTTACGTTACTAGACACCAGCCAAATTGGGGGAAGGAAAGTGAGTGCTCAAGTGATGAATATTGATGTAGATCATCTGAAGTGTTGGCTAGGTGTTTTTTGACCTTGTGTAGGTCTTGGAAGATGTGTCAGTTATTTTCCCACTGATTTAAGAGGAGACCTGTATTTGTGTCCTGTCCCACTCAATAGTTACTGAACCCTGCTTCAGTCAGCATTTTTTGCATTATTTGCTGACACAGTGGTGAGCATGATTTAGCATTGAAATACCACTTTTCAGAGTTGAACTGTACGTTCCCAAATGTCCCTTTGGAAGTCATTCCTGTCTGCAGGAGTGCTTGCTAGAAAGTGGAAGAAACTATTTGAACAGTTGGGGGAATATTGTTAGAATTTGCCTTCCTCTTTCAAGCACCATATCATCACCAATATGAATTTAAATCTGTATTAGTTTTAATTCCCTGAAGCTGCTGAAGTATTATCCCTCTTGCAGTGTGTTGAGGGGATTCATGTGGGGGGAAGTTGGATTGAGTAATTCTTTGATTTACTGGAAGCAATACAAGGATCCAGTCTTCTCTTTCCAACAAAGCTCTGAATGCAGAAATTATGCTTTGCTGTATTTTGAGGACCTGTATTAGTATCAAGTTGATTTGGTTTAAATTTCCACAGTGCAAATAAAGTCCAGGTTTTTATTAGGGTTAGCTGTGCATTCTGTATCAATAGTACACATTTTCCTTCTATGGATTTAGGACTGGTAGGGAAAAAAAAAGATAGGTGTATGTTCATCTTTTCTTGACTGCTCCATAATTTTTCTGAACCAGTGAGATCTATTCTGTGAGCCAAGTTGGCTAGGGTCCACACTAGCCCTCCTTCCTAAAAACCAAATGTGGCTTCAGGAGGCTTTTGCTCAGCAGTAGATGGGTTTTGTGAGGAGCCTGGACCTTTCCAAGGAGATACTGCTGATCTAATTTAACTTGTGAGTGTGAGGGAGTAGGAACAGGGAATAGGCAAATGGGAAGTAATATTTAAAAACAATAATTCATAAGCAAATTACATATTTCAGTAAACAGTGCCTCTTTTTTCCATATTTTGAAATAAGTGAATAACCAAATTTTAGAATTTTAGCTACAAGATGATTTTTATTCTCTGTGTATCTTGTTGCCTAAAGTTGTGTCTGAGGCTACAAGGGGGCTTAACACCCTAAAATTTGCAGTAGCCTCCTGTGCTGCTGGGGCTGGCTATCTTTATTTTCTTCAGGCAGCAAATTACTGTTATCACATGAGCATTTTAGAGCAAAGTTTGATTTGTCACCCCAGGTTCTTCCTCCTCTGAACCTCAAAGATAAGATGAAGAGCCACAGACCATTTTAAAGATGCAAGTGGCACAAGTCTCTGCTGGTTCCTGCTTGGCTGAAGATGAAACACCCAGGGAGCTGCTACTAGACAAGCTAGTGAGGAGGAGGGATGGGTATTTAGTGTGGCTGGAGCTGATCCCAGCCCATATGGCAAAAGATGGGGGAGGAGGAGGAAGAGCAGTCGGTGCTAGCCTCTAGGTACTACCAGTGAGATGCAAATGCTGGCCTGAAAATTTATGCCAGAGCAGATAATCATGTGAGAGGGCTGAAACAAGAAAACCCACAGCTTGTATCTCTGCAATATTTTTAGATGTGAGCAGCTAGCTACTGAAGCTGGCCTTCTGTTCTCTCAATTTCTCAATAGCAAGAGAATTTCCTTGGGTTTAGTGAGTTAAATGTTCCAGCTGATCATCTCTGAGCTGGAGCAAGAGGGAGCATTTGATAGGAATTCCTGTGGTAGCGTGGTGAGAAAGCCAAAAATCTGTAAGAATAACAAGCTAACAGGTTATGATTTCAAAACTCCAGCTTAAAAACCATTTGAGACTTTATTTGCTAGATCACTGAAATAATTTCATCCAGGAGGTAGCGTGTTCTGAGGCGTAGTGAGTGCCAGAGAATCTCCCACTGCACTTCTCATCTTGTGGACCAAAACTGGAGTGCTGTTACGTGGCCACTTGAGGGAATATTGCCCTTTTCATTAATGAAGTCATTGATTTGATTAAAGGAACCCTCCAGCCTTGATGTTTGCATTTTCCAGAAGTACAGTGTTCCTGCAAGTGGAGCTGGTACCACTTTGTCACCTGGCTGCAAGGCAGCTTTAGATATCCTGGTGGCAGTTCTGATGGGTGTTTATTTGGAGCTTAGTACCAGTTTGAAACCAGCTGAAAATTTAAATCTCTCCCAGTGCTTAACAAACCTTCCTGCAAGGAAGTTTTTCCTCATGTCTCATGTATACTATTCTACCTTAAGCTGCCTTCTGCTTACCAGTCTCTTATGTACCTTTGAAGACAAACTATTTCCTCACCCTTCTCTAATTATCCCAGTTACTGTTCTGTTAGGTCACACTATCTAGACCTCTGAGTCCTTTCCTTTTGTAGAATTTCTCCATTTTTTCCCCCTATTTCTTTAACTGTGGTCTTCAAAATTAGATCTCATATTTCAGTTGTATTCTTAACCATTACAGAACATGCTGAAGTCATACCTGTTTCTCAATAGCTGCTTGCACTTAATGCATGTTGATATTCATAATTTACTTAAGTTTAGATTTAATATTAGGAAAAATATCTTCCCCAAAAGGGTTGTCAAGCCCTGGGGACAGTGGTGGAGTCCTCATCCCTGGAGGGGTTTTGAAGCTGTGAGATGTGGTGCTGAGGGACACGGGGCAGTGGTGACCTGGCAGTGCTGGGGTAATGATTGGACTCAATAATCTTAAAAACCTTTTCCAACTTAAAATGATCCTCTGACTCTAAATCACCAGTGAATCAGTTTCATTCCTGCAGAAGGATTTAACTGTTCCTCCTTTTGCAGTTTGTGCAGCTCATTATTCCTCTGCATGTCTTCCTTAAGCTGTTTTCCAAATCATCTCATTTGAGATCCCTTTCAAATTCCCTTTCCAATACCCTCTTACACTTGCAGCTATTACTAGCACAGTGCCATCTGTAATTTTAATAAGCATGTGCTGATTAAGTTCCATCATTCAGGTTGTTAATGTGAGGGTAGTTCCGGAGCAGAGCTGTGGGAGCTTCCTCTTGATGTGTCTTTAACCACTGTAATTGTTCTTCAGCCAGTTCTTCAGCTATGCTTTTTTAATCCTCATGGTGCTTGTGTTGCTGCCTGTTTGTTAGGAAACATGGAGATGCTGTGAAATCCTTAAAGGCAAGCCAGATCTTCTAGTCTTGCTTTGATTGTTAAAACCACATGGAATGGAAAGAGACCCTGTCCTTGGCAGACAAATCTATTTATACCAAATGTACAATTTCTTAAATAAAAGGCAAAAGAGAAGTGATGGTTTTACCCATTGTGTACAGCTTTGTGTAGGGAGCAGGTTCTGCTAATGGTCTCTGATTTTCCACATCCAGCACACAACATCCCTCACCAGTGTGAGAGCCCTGATTGTGGATCTCTCTGCTAGGGCCATAGAAACACGAGTTCTAAAGATGGTTCTTGCTCAGCTAGCTGTTTAGCAATCTGAGTGTCAGACACCACATGAGTACAGATGTTTTGGCCAGCAGAGGTGAGCATGGTACACGGTGGTCTCAGCAGCTCTCAGACATTTAGGGCCATGAAGATGATCAGGAGGTGGGAACACATCTCCTATGAGGCCAGGTTGAGAGCTGGGGTTGTTCTTCAGCTTGGAGAAGAGGAGGCTCTGGGGAGACCTTACTACAGCACACTTCAGTGCTTAAAGTGATGAGTTTCATGGGTGCACTGCTGAATTTAGGGAAGTTATACTTTGTGAGACTCCAAGAGCAGGATGTGGTGATGAGATTTGACATGACTGGTTAGGGGTGGTGTCTTACATAGTCACCAGTTTGGAAATCAGGATTGCTGAGGATGAGTAGAGGAGGCTGAGAAGCAGATCCAGTGCTGGAGTGTGGAAGCAATACCAGGGATGAGCATTTCATGGTAACAACCAGAAAGAAGGGCGAGGGAAGGGCTGAGTCTGGGGGATGTCAAGCAGGTGGCAGAGTCAGCATTAAGCACACTGATGTTCTTTGCTTTTGTAGGAATGCAGCAAGCAATTTTAAGCAGGCAAATGCCAACAGAAAACTTGGAGCCTCTGTTTGTGCCACGAATGTCCTACAGTGGCTTTGCTGTGGAAGGCTGCACGCTTGAAGATCCAGACGTCTCCGACCCACCCCCTCCCTATTCCGACTTCAATGCAAGCAGCCAAGAAAGAACTGTCAGCCTCCTGGAAAGCAACGTGTTCATGCCTCGCCCTCAAGCAGTGGGCTCTTCCAGCTACGTTTCCACAAACACAGGATTGAAATATTCTGGGAATGGGGCATCCCTTCCCTCTTCCCAAAGAGCAGTCGGTGACCACGCGGATGAATCGGAAGACAGCGATTACGAGAATTTGCTGGAACCCACAGAGTCCTCTGACAGTGAATACTCCCAGACAAGGGATTCAGGACCCTCAGCACATCCTGACGGCCATTCCAGGAACACTCAAACTTCTCAGATTTGACAGGGTGAAAAAAAAAAACCAGAAAAATCCACCTGAGACTGTTTTTTTTCCTGTTACAGAGAGATTTTTGGGGATTTTACCTGGAGGAAATGAACTACACAGGATGACTGTGCACACGAAATGTAGAAGACTTGCACTAGAGGGTTTAATTCACCTTGTGATACATTTTGCAAGTTTTATAATGGAATCATTAGGATAATCAAGTCGTACTAATACCGTTGAGGTTCATGGATGTGCTGGTAAATTTAGGCAAAAGGAAATTTCTAGAGATCTTGTAGCTTTTGTTGCCGTATTTTCTTTAAGACAATAAATCGGGACGTAGTAACTAAGCACAGTTAGTCTACCAATAATGTTCTCAAATCAAAACTTACCTCTTGCACTATCATGCCTTGAATTTTAATTATTTTTTTTTTTTGGAAAGGGAATAAATCTATCAGCAGCCTTCAAAACAGCTTTCTGTGGTGAGCCAAACTGGCCTTTGCAAGCAAAGAAATGTTGGTAATTCTGGCACAGACGTGGTCTCCCTTCTTGTGTGGGCATGCTCCTTTCATAGAGGAGGAAGGGGTTGGTTTCAACTTTTATTTTTTACTAGCAGAATGTGTGTAACACTTAAAATGATGGTTGCCTTTTTTTCTGTAAAGGGGGGAGGGGGGGGTGGGATGGGCTGGTAAATCATCCAAATGAATGTCATAAATATAATTATTCTGGTTTCGCTGGGTTTACAATGACTTTATGCCACACTAGCCTCATTTACTGTCTCATTTGTTATTTTAGCATAAATACAAAGTGCACATACAGGAGTAAGTGACTGACAGAAGTAGTAAATTCCATCATGATTGGACTTTAGAGTCTGCAAATTAGAAACATCAGAGACTGCTTCGTGCATTTTATTTGCATCTGAATATTGGATTTACGCTTCTAGATGAGTGATTTTATGTAATAAATAGGGGATGGGGTAGGAGAAAATTGTTTGGGGAGTCCCCTGGGTTTATTACCTCTTTTCCTCTGCGTGGAACTTGTAAATGATTAAGTTGAATTACAGCTCTTGTCAGAAAACTGCCGTTTGGGATAAATGAAGTGTGGTATATTTGGAGAATTTCATGTTTGGATGCACTTATTTTTATTTAAATACTGCTTGTATGCTAACATTGCCCAAAATATGTGAAATCGTGCCACTGAGGAGTTTGTATTATTGGACTTTATCCCTGATCTGTAAATGAGAAAATACCCATTTTAAGATGAGGTTCTCTTGAGCTTTGAGGTGTGAATAACCACTTCTCTGGCTCACACCCCGAAGAACAAAGCAGTTGCTGAAAATTTTAAATATACCTGATTTCCAAAAGACTAAAATTTTGATCTGTGTTGTCTGTGTAGGCAAAAGTCTGTTCAGCAGCCTCTCCATGTACTAAATGAAGCAAAATGACTTGGGGAAAAACCAGGACGTCGAAATCGCCGCTCTTCTGTCGAGTGTTTCCACCTCTAAACATCAAGTGGGCTGTTTTAACCATTTCCCATTCTTTTCATTAGCCTTCACTTGACTCGTTTGGTCTTCCAGTGTCCCAAGAGAGAACCTGCTCTGCTGTCCCCTCTGCCTGGCTGCAGGTGGGGGGGTTAAAATCAGAATTGAGAGGATTGACAACGGCCGTTCTGGTTTTCATTCCGCACAGAAAGCTGCCAAATGGACCCTCCTGACAGAGCAGTTCAAGGTGACAACAAAACCCTGATTTAATTCTGTCACTTACAGGTTAATAGCAGGTTCTGTGTCAGCAAAGTAACTTGCCAGAACACAGAAATGAGGCTCAAAGTGAGGATTTGTTCAAGGGGGAGAGGAGAGCACTGTACCCTGTGCTGTACATACTTGCCACACCTTTTACAGTTATATTGGTACAAAAATCCTGGAGTTCTGGAAGATGTTAATCACAAAAAAATGTCTCACCTTCTGCTTGGTTTGACATACAACATGTAGGTGATGGGGGGAGGGATGAGTGGGTAACCATGTCCTCCAGCCAGTGCTAGCTGCAGGTACTTCCCCTTGCTGTAACTGCTTGCTCATAAGAAAAAAATGTGTTTTAATTTATTTTTTACAAAAGGCAGAGAACATTCTGGTAAAATGCATGTGGACAGACTTTGCTGTTTTCATTACAGCCCTGTTAAAATAACAGTGTTGGGCTGAAGGCAATAGGGAGCAGCTTTCACCCTCAGGAAAACCAGAGCTTCCCACCCCTGAAGTACCAGCTTTCCACATCTGGCTCCTGGAGAGGTCCTTGTGGTGGTTCTCAGGAGCCCAAAACCCAGCAGCAAGGACCTGTAGCAACAACTCACAGGTAGGCAGCATCGAAGACAAGGTACTAAAAACTGGGTTCTATGCCTTTTACTTCAAAACTCTGTTGTTTCTCTGGTACAGTGAAGTATTTTCCAGTTTATTGTTGTGAGGAACCTAGAATTGCTGTTTCCTCTATTTCCAAATTGTCTTTTTTTTCCCCTCCTTGATTGTTTGTAGCTAGAGCAGGAACATACCATATGGAAAGTCTCAATAAGCCACAACTAGCACATATGCTTATAAAAGAAAGCATCACCAAATGCTTCTGAAATGAGCTGGGATTGACACTGGGGGAGTCTCCAAGTCCTCTGTTGGCTTTTGGGATGGCACGTGTTGGCAGAAAGAAATGGTGGCATCTGGAATTTGGGCTTCTCCCTCACAATGCAGGTTTTGAGTTCTTGTCTAGCATCTCCTGACTACTCAGGGATGTTTTGCTGGCTCTGACCCGAGTTGAAATGTCAAGGGGAGGCTGTTACTGTTTTATGTACCAGCAAAATAAGCAAATTTATTTTGTAAGCATAATGTTTTATATTATAAGGAAGCAAAGAGTGATCAGATTTTCTGGTAAGTGGAAAGATGCTTCAGACCATACTAAGGTAACTGGTATCAGATCAGCACCCTTCATACTCTGTGGGTTTAGCTCCTTTTATTTAAACTTAATACCTTTGATGATAGCAGGAGACAGCATTTAAAGATACCAGTATCACTTCAGGTCAAATTGACAGCAGCATCTTCTGTCATATCCATCAGTCCCTGCTTATAACTCCTGTGGGAGGGAAATCCTCTAGGAACAGAGGGTGCATGGTCATGGAGTTTTTGTTTGCAGATGAACATGTCTGCAGGGCCAGGAGGTGCTTTTCTCACTGCTCCTGTGGTCATCTTAGGTGAGAGGGTCTGCCCCTGAGCTTGGTCAGTGCTTGTTGGTCTCCTTGGTTTGTAAATCTGCTTTCTCCAGTGCTGCAGACACCTGCAAGGGTTGTTTGAAGCCCTTTCATAACAGATGTGCTTTGCTTGGTTCTTCCATGGCTGCCTGTGAGCAGCCTGTAGATCAGCTTGGGGTTATTCAGCCTGGAGCAAAGGAGGCTCAGGGGAGACCTTTCTTTACAGCTCCCTGCAAGAAGGTTGGAGTCAGGTGGGAGTCGGTGTTCTCCCAAGAAACAAGGGACAGGACAAGAGGAAATGGCCTCAAGTTGCATCAGGGGAGGTTTAGGTTGGATATCTGGAACAATTTCTTCCCCAAAAGGGTTGTCCAGGGCTGTGCCAGGCTGCCCAGGGCAGTGGTGGAGTCCCCACCCCTGGGGGGATTGAAAAGCCATGGAGATGTGGGGTGAGGGACATGGGTTAGCACTGCCAGGTCATCACTGGGTTAATGGTTGGACTCGATGTTCTAAAAGGTCACTTCCAATTAAAACAATTCTATGATTAGGTCGTCAACCTCCTGGAGAGAATTTCAGGTTCAGCTTCCCAGGGCAAGTCCTGCAGATGAAGATGGATGTTACAGCAGGTCAGCTGAATCAAGAGTTACCTTCATGAGAAGAACCTTCCCCTGGCTTGCTCTTGGTGTATAAAATGATGGCAGTTTGCCATACACATTTCTGTCATGCTCACACTTCTGTGCATCTCCAGGTGCCTTTATTCTGCTCACTCCTGTACCTTCTAGATTTAGGAAGAAAGCAGAAGCTTAATTAGAGTTTCGTTAGGAAATCACTTAAATCCTTGGACACTTGTCTTAAGGCTGGTGATCTGAGGTGACAGTGGACAAAGACCTTTGTTTCCTACCTAGGTCTGGAACAACCTAAGGGTGGTTGTCACACCTTCATGCCAGGATCAGCTGCTGATCTTGACATGTGAGGCATATTGTATATAGATGCCTTGCTAAATTTGCAGGCTCCTTCACTGCTCTCATTCTTCCATGGTTGGTTTCAGATGAAATAACTTTTGGGGCTTTTTTTTAGAACTAAACTTCTACACTTCACCATACCTCTGATGTTAATTTTTCCTTGATTACATCCAAAGGCTCTGAATCCTTCTGAAGGCAGATTGCTTTCCTGGAATGGTCAGGAGCACTTACCAATCCCCTTGGAGAGCAGAAGACCCTCAAGGCAGATGAGCAGTTGGTGGGGGTAACATGCTGCTCGGGCACGCTGCCCAAGGGGGCAAATCCTGCACTCCACGGGCTGGCAGAGCAGAGAGGAGAGGCTCAGGAGCTCCACTTACAGCAGCTCCAGCTGCTTCAGCCTCTGTAAAGCGTGCAGGAGGATCTGGCCAGGCTGGGTCAGGGGGGTGAGCTTCAACAAGGCCAAGGGATGGGTCCTGCACTTGCATCACAAGCCCCTGTGATGTGCCAGGCTGGGGGAAGAATGGCTGGAAAGTGCCCAGTGGAAGAGGCCCTGGGGGTGTTGGTTGACAGCCAGCTGAAGGTGAGCCAGCATGTGCCCAGGTGCCCAAAAAGGCCACCAGCATCCTGGCTTGTGTCAGCACTAGTGTGGCCAGCAGGACTGGGGCAGGGGTTGTCCCCTGCACTCAGCACTGGGGAGAACACCCCTCGAATCCTGGGGTCAGTTTTGGGCCACTCACTACAAGAAGGACCTTGAGGGGCTGGAGTGTGTCCAGAGAAGGGCAATGAAGCTGGGGAAGGGTCTAGAGCCCAAGTGTGGGGAGGAGCAGCTGAGGGAGCTGGGGGTGCTGAGCCTGGAGCAAAGGAGGCTCAGGGGAGACCTTCTGGCTCTGCACAGCTCCTGACAGGAGCCTGGAGCCAGGGGGGGGGTCAGGCTTCCAAGGAGCAAATGAAAGGACAAGAGTCAACAGTCTCAAGTTGCACCAGGGGAGGTTTAGGTTGGATATCAGGAACAATTTCTTCCCCAAAAGGGTTGTCCAGGGCTGTGCCAGGCTGCCCAGGGCAGTGGTGGAGTCCCCACCCCTGGAGGGGTTTCCAAGCTGTGGAGATGTGGTGCTGAGGGACATGGGTTGGTGGGGACCTGGCAGTGCTGGGGTAACTGTCAGACTTGATCTTAAAGGTCTTTGCTATTCTAAATAATTCAGTGATTCAGAGGTCAGCCTTCTTGTTTGGGGAGAATTTCAGATTCAGTTTCCCAGGGCAAGTCCTGCAAATGAAGATGGGTATTAAAGCAGGTCAGCCAAGTCCAGTAAGAGTTCTTCATGGAAGAAGGGACTCATAATC